CTGGGTCCTGTGATGCTCAAATCAGGAGGTGGAATGTGGGTGCCCTGGCCTTTGCTCTCTCTTCTTCTTTCGTGTTGGTCTGGCCAGGATCTGATCAACCACCAGGATGCTGGCAGGCGGACAGGTCAAAAGAAGGGAATGTACAGCTCTCTGCCCATGGCAAGTGAGAGGGACTCAGGGTAGGCTGAGTTCAGCACCTTTGGCCGGTGAGGTCTGCAGGGAAGGGTCTGGGGTACCCCAGATCACAGCAGGCCATGATGCCTTACAGCTTCAACAAGGGTGGTACCCTTAAAACCCATGTGAATCAGACTGGCTAGGTTTCTTCACCCCACTTTACAGATGGGATAGTAGAGGGTAAGTGACTCTGACTAGAGTTATACATATCTATTTGCTGATTGACTGACTGAGTCATTCGCTCATCCAACAGACATCCACCAAGGCTGGGAGCTGTTAAGCCGGTGGGCACGTCATGCTTTGCTACCCACAGGGCGGCAGCATGACTGCCAGGCAGCTAGGGCCTCTACTTGGTACTGGCATGGGGTCGTTTCCATCACATTCTATTGGTCAAAGCAGACTCAGGCCAGATTCAAAAGATAGAGACACAGGCTCCATCTCTCTCGACAGGGGCATGTCAGGACTCAGTGCAGACGTGCATGGGGTGGGTGTTGTGCAGCCACCACGGGGATGGGTGTGAATTGAAGCTCCATAAACAAGTGGAACCTCTGGGAGGAAGCTCTCCACATGACTCCTGGAAGTAGTTTCAGTCACTGGGACTGGCCTCCAGGGATACTCCTGAAGGGCAGGAGCGGTGTCTTACTACCTTCCGACCTTTCACAGCCTTCAACCTGGAGCCTAGCACACAGCAGGTGCTCCACAAGTATTTGCTGAGTGGACTTGCAAGGTGCCAAGTAGAAGGGTGGTCTTTCTGGGTGTGGTACAAAGGCTTGCCCTCTCCTACACAAAGAGGGGTCAATTTGGCAACAGACTGTGACCTTCACTGGGCCTAGCACTTAGAACACCACGTGGTATGCAGTAGGGTCTCCGTAAACGTTTGCTGAATGAATAAATGATTGCAGGGACTCAACTGATGATGAATACATCTCTTGGTAAGTAGGCATCTTGGTCTCCTCTCTAAGCTCTAAGAAGGTGGTCATGCCACAAAGATCCTTCTGACCCTGAGAGGGCATGGAGAGAACATCTCAGACTCGTGTGACAAAACGCACCCACGACGATGAGAACAAATGACTTGCCGGTGACTTGGAAGAGGATTTCACTGACCCTCATGCTATCCTATAAGCTGTCACAATTTACAGACATGAACAGTGGCTCAGAGATATGAAGTCACTTGCCAAAGTCACATAAGCAGTGTTAAGGTGGGTCTCAGACCCTGGTCCTCTGACCACCACACTCTCCTGCCTTCCCTGGGGGTCAGAGGCCACGTCAGTCCCCTATGTTCCCAAACTGCTGTGTTTCTATCAGGCCCAGGTGAATGCATCTGTTTCAATTCAACCAAAAGGGCTTGCCATCTGCAGGCCACACTCCCTTCACGGTGAGAGAAGGAAGCACAGAAAAAATACCCAGCAGTGGCCCTGCCTTCTTCCTGCCTGGGCCAGTGCACACAATCCTCAGAAAAGTTTCACCTCTGGTTTAGCATAACAAAACTTTTAATTTAGATGTTTTCATCTCTCTCTCCAAGTAAAAATAAGTTTAAAATAATGACTGTAATAAATGAAGGTAATTAATTGTAGTTTGTTCCTTTACTGTCTAGTCAGCTTAATTTTACCTTTTCAACTAATAATGAGAAAATAATTTTTGTGCTCGGAGGGTTAATGATATGTAACTGCGAGAACTGCTAATTGCATGTTGCAATCCATCCATCAACAACCCCATCTGTGCGACTTGATTATGTTTGCTAAATTATTGCTTTGAATTATCTTTCATAAAGCAACTTTTGTAATTAGCGGGGCTTTCGTCTTGCTCTTTTCTCTGCGAGCAAGGATATTCAAACTTTGGCCATTTCAAGCTGTCTCCATTAAGCCACCTTCACTGGCTTCTTTGTTTCCCTGAGCAGGGGGAATCAAGGCTGTCCTTTAAGCAATCAAGGCGGAGAGGAAAAGCTTCCTTGATTCACAGCAGGGCAAATTCACTTCCTCTCTGCCCCCCTCCCACCAGCACGGGTAGGCGCGCACGCACACACACACACACACACACACATACACACACAAAAGGAAAGAAAAGAATAGAAAGAAAAGACCCCCTCTCATATATAGTATGAAAAGATAAAAAGGATGCCTAGATTCTGTATACACCGCGGCTGGCAGAGTGAAATTAAGGGACGAACCTGAACATGTTATATTTCAACAAGAGGCCCGCCCTGGGGAAGAAGGAAAGACGGTATGATATTCAGCCCTGGCGTTTTATGGGCTAGTTTATGTGACTCAGGAAGGTGTTTGCCTCAGGGAATATTCCTGGGAGGTGATTAATGCCCACTGGGGAATCCTCAGCCCTGAGCCCAGAGCCTAGTAGATCGTGAGAGGGAAGCAGCATAAAGGATGAACACTCATTAAAAAAATTAAAATGAAAATCAAATTTGGATTATGAACGGCCTGTGTGTGTGCAGTTTGCTCTGGGTGAAGAAGATGCTTTTTATTAACACCTTTCTCTGGCGGCGTGTCTCCCCCGAGGCGCGGGGAGGGACATGGCTGCTGCAATGGATTAGTCAATAGATCATGAGGAAAGCAGGAGTTTCGGGAATAAAACTCCAGACAAATGTAGTCTTTTTGGTACATTAAAGGGACAATGGAGAGCCCTCTTACGAAAATTAACGAAGTTCTTTGAAGATCCCCAGCTTTTTAAACAGTGTCTATTTAACATGCTGCATGAGTTTGGTAACGAGAGTTCAGCTTTGTCTCTCCTTCTGGCCCCCTTAGACTTTCTCACCCCCTACACTTACTGAGCACCAACTGTGTGCCGGACACCCTGTCAACTGTCTCCATGAGACTTACTTCTTTAAATCCTTACTGTTGGCCACATTTGCCAGAGGAGGAAAGCTGTAGCTCTGACAGGTTAAGGCACTTCCCCAGGCCACACAGCTGGTGTAAGCAGCAGGGCTGAGACTCAGGGCAGACCTGTCTGAGTCCTATCTGCGTGTGCTTCCCACCACCCCACACTTGAGTCTTCTCTGGATCATCACCCAAATCTTACGTTTAACTCTTTCTCCTACTGAAAAGATGACATACGTCATGCCTTTTTCCTATAGTGACAGAAAGGCTCCTTCTTTTGGATAAAAAGCCCTGAAGATCTAAGAAAGAGGCAGATTCCAATTCTGACACAGTAAAGGCCAAATAAACCTATCTTGGAGGTCATGATAATAGGAATAACAAAATAACCAAGACTCCTTACAGGCAACGCAACGTTCTAAGCACTCCGTGGGTATAACTTTGTTCTTCCTCAATCACAACCCTATGGCACAGGTGTAATTATTATCCAATTTTACAGATTTTGAAACAGAGGCACAGATAGGTCAAGTAAATTCCCTAAGGTCAAAGAGCTCGTAACTGGCAGAGGCAGGATGCAAACCCAGGTGGACTTGAGTCTGCTCTTCACTCCCTAGAAGCGCTCTCTGTGCCAGGCATTACATTTAACCCCTTCTCTGCATTACATCTCAGTTCACCCTCAAAACAACATGAAGAGATCTGTAGTGTCTTTATTCCCATCTAACAGGGAAACAGAGGCTCTGAGTGGTTAAGAAAAGCTCTACCACGCAAACCAAGCAATGGAACAGCGGAGAAAGTGACACTCTGTACAAAAAGCTCAATGTCTGTCTCTGGGTTGGGCAGAAGGACCAGCTGCTTGAGAGGGCTTGTGTGCTGGGTGCCCCTCACAGAACCAGGACTTGGCAGATGGGGACCTCTTTTTTAAAAAAACACAGTTATGACAACACATTTCCAACATTATTGGTCTTTCTTTTTTTTCTTTTCCTTTTAGCTCAGGCACCTCACAACCAAATGAATCAATATTGAATGGCCCTATAAATAAATAAGCACATCAGTCAACTCAGTAATAAAATGAAGGGATGAAAAATATGGAAATCAGCGACATTTGTGTAAATCCAGTTATTGTTTACTTTAATATTGCCTTATGCACTTATGCGATTCCAAAGAGACAGATTTAAAGTAATGTGGCGCTTGGCGGATGACAGACTTAAAATGTATCTCTGCCAGCAAGCTCTGAGAAGGGCCAATCCTTCCAGGGTCCTGCCTGAATCCAGAGGAAGGCTGCGAAGGAAGAGCCTCCTGAAGATGGAACATTTGAGAAATGGCTTCCCTTCCACTCCCCTGCCTCGGTGGAATTCCATTCTTTTGCTAGCCTACCTTCTGTAACAACCAGACAAGTGGATATTCTCAGAGTCCTGGTCACAAAGCTAAGTCAAGAAGAAAAAAGAGGGGGGTCTATCCCCATCCCAGGCTCCAGGGAGGCAAGAGAAATGACTGGCTGAGGACAGCGCTGCTGCTACCAAAGGAACTAGGTAGGGCCCGATGGGTGGACAGAAAAGAATGTGAACAATGTTGACTTTATACTCAGAGGTTTGGTTGGTAGAGATTTCAGGACAGGCTGGTAAGTGTCTGGACTTATCTGCAAGGCTGCCTTAGATGATCAGAGTAGAATGCCACGGGAGAGCAAATGTCATTGAGTACAAACCTCCAAAAATGAGAAACCAGCCTGGAAGGTGAGGTGGTTTGTTCAAGGTCATAGATATTATATGTAACAGAGCCAGTGTAAGGCTGGGTAACGTGGAGAGACAGATTTCTGGGGCTCAGACGCTGGCATCCCATCCAACACAACAGAGAACCCACACTTCTCACAACACTGGCTGATTTGGAGAGAATGGGGCAGGGATGTCTCTCCCAAACTCCAGAGTCTGCTGGCCTCCTCTGGAAGCTCTAGTGGGATAGGAGAGGGAACTGGGTTTGGGATGTGCCATGGGCTTTGGGTCTTACCTCAGCTTGGAAGCTTTTTAATACAGGAGCCACCATCTCTCTGATTTCCTGAAAAAGAGATCAACGAAGAGTTCACCACAGTGCCAGGTAGGACACCCATGGCCCCGCGTGCAGCTCATTGTTGTTCCCCAGGTCAGCATTTCCCAAACGTGTCCCATGGGACCTGCGCTCAATGGAATTTTGTAAGAGTTCCTCATGTATATGTCTACACACAGACAGACACTCATTCACATACTCATTCACATACATCCACACCCCCAACCCCTACACAAGGGGACATATCAAGCCCAACATCAAGTTTCTTCCTTACAGGACTTTTTGGAGCATTTAATATAATGCACACTGGGGATTTCTGGAAGAGGTACAGAAAAAGTAGCATTTCCCAAATGGATTTGATTATGGAATGCCCTTCGATGCAAAGTAACTGTGGGACTGGTGGTCCATCATGGGGATACTCTTTGGAGCAGACACTGGAGAGGTGACCTTATTTCTCCACACCCAGGGTCATGTTATCAAAGTCCCTTCATGAAAACCTTCTGTCCTTTAGGCATGGTTTAGGGGCTGTCTCCTTCAGATGGCCATCTCTGTTTCCCCACCCAAAATTTTAACATCACTCCGTACTCATCTCTCCTTCCATATTAGAATATGCAGTTGCTGGGGACTTGCCTGGGTCACTCCTCTCAGCACCGATCTCAGAGGAAGAGCTCTGTAAATGTTTGATGAACTCTATGGCACTGGGCTGTCTTCAGAAGGGAGCCTCCTATTTCTGGACCCTAATTTCCTGCCTTTCACAAGTGACCTTGAGGTTCCCAGCCCCAAGGGCTCCCCTGGTGGACTCCCGTGAGTTCTCCCTAGCATGCAAGAGAGAGGCTTTTAGGATCAAGTGTCTCAAGATTCCAACTCTAAATGCTCCAGTTTCCTCTGAGACCCACTGATGACTCCCCCAACTGGTGTCAGCCATGGCCTACAAGAAACCCCTGTAAAAGGAAGTGCTAGAGGGGGGCTCCAGAGTATGGGGGCAGCAGAGAGAAGCAGGAAAGGAAGAGATGGGCAGAATACATATGTTCAGATAAAAAGAAAAATAAGGTTGTGTTGCTTTTGCTCTGGAAAAGATCCCTCTTCTGGATCCTGGGTTCCCCTCCTCACTGACCGTGTCTCCCAGGGCTTCTCAGAGCCACTGACATATATGCTGGGGATCTTCAGGAGGGACATAGGGAGTGCAAGTGAACCTAGTGGATCGAGTCACAAGGAACCACAGGCACGCGGGCTGAGCAGTGGAAAAGGAAACATGAAAACCTACGTCATAGGTTGTAAACAAATGCTGGCAGAGGCCAAGGCAAGTGCACAAGGGAGGCAGGCTGGGAGGTCCTGTGGCAGATCTTTTGGGGGAACATAAGTCTAACAAGGTGGCTCTTTCTGGTGACTGTCACGTGGGCATGGAGGTCCCATGTGGTCAGATCTACCAAATAGTTCAAAGATACCAGATATCCAGGTTTGGGGGTAAAATCTTCTGAGATGCTAAACAGTGGCAACTTCCTGTAAAATTTACAAGACTTTACAGACTAAATAAAATATTTGGGCATGAAACTTCCGGTTCAGGTTCAGGAAATATCCGTGTCAGAAGGGGCTCAAGAACCGACCCTCCAGTCCCCAGAATGTACCGAAAGGGAGACCGAGGCCCCGAGTGGGGCTCACTTGCTCAAGGTCCTGCAGCGCGGAGAGGCACAGCTGGGATCTTGTCCACAGAATAAGCCTGGAAGGTCGACAGACTCCCCAGACTCCCCAGACGAGCTCTTCTCACAACCCCACACTCAAGTGAGTTTCAGGGATTCAAACTGAGGCTCCCTGGGAGGGGGTTGGTGGGACTCTGGGCCAATGTCCTGTCTGCTTAACCCTTGGGGAAAGATGAGCGAAGGCATCAGCAGGACATGAGCTGGGCACCAGCCAGATGATGTTTTTAAATAAAGCCTTGGCATGACTCGCCCCATCAGGAGAGACTAGTTCCAGAAATGAAAATTTTCAGAGGCACGACTATAATAGGAATGGAAACTTATTCCTCCTAATTACATAATTGCATAATTATGCAGTATTAAAATTATGTAAGCCAAATTTGAGGCTTAAAACCTGGCCTGGATTTCCCTCCTCACCTGGGGACTCCCATGTGACCTGGGGGAAGGACAAGATGGAGGGCTGTGAAGATCCAGGGTGCTTTCATCTCTGCTCTGGTACTCATTCTGGGCAGAAAAATCAGTTTAAAGACCAAGCTGTTCTCTGTTCTAGGAGGGAAGGGAAGGTTGCTCAGTGTCACCATTCTCAGCTCCTGGAGTCAAACCAAAGGCTTGATTTGGCCATTCTGAAGCCGCAATATGTGAAGCACACTCAGAGCTGAGATTCCCGCCTCCTCTCTAAGCACATCCTCCCTCAGCTCCCTAACCTAAGATTTCTTCCAGGCTTATTCCATGGACAAGTTCTAGCTAGATCTCACTTCCCTTTCTTGCCTTGAAGAACCAAAGATATTTACGACTTGCGCGAGGAGGATTTCACAGCTAAGGGACCAACTTCTCTGCTCATGTGGCCCAATTCCTGGGTGGGCCTGCCTCTTCTCCATCTTTCCATGGATTCCTCCTCCAACAGCAAGATGCCAACAGGACCCTTGGATGATTCCAACAGGCAGAATGGAATCACCATCTCCAGGTCTGATACCTCCAGAATGCTGGATCCTGCTCCAGCCCTCCTCCAAGATCTAAGCAACCCCAGCAGGTTTGGATAGAGCGCTCAAGTAACCTCTGCTGACTGGAGAAGCTGACCAGTTGACTTTGGGTATGGTCTAGGTCTCTTTTCCACAACAGCTCTGATGTATCACATTCCTGCCAACATTATATGGAGTCAGAAGGCTTTATTTTTCCTATTTGTCTTTACTTTATCATTAAAAAAAGAATAAGCAGCAGCAGACTGACTCAGAGGAGAGAAAGGAATTCACACATTCACCACTGTAAAGAACAGAAACAAGTCCTTTCTAGTCTCTTACCCTGGGGGGCCTTTACATTGCTTAGGGCTGGTCATTATCTGGACCACCCTCATGGCAGCTGGGAAAGACAAAGCTGGTGGCTGGAGTTGTAAGGGTGGGGGTGTGGGTGTGTGTGTGGGGGGGATGTGAGGCAGTTTCAGAGATGGAGGAAAGGACCTAACGGGGTGGCTATAGCTGTCATCTCCCAGACGCCAATGAAAAAGTAAAATAAAATCAAGAACTCTAGACAAATTACTTTTGCCATAAAGGCCAAACATCTGACTTAGATATGAATGCAGGGAGTAAACAGATGTCTTACAGTTGACTTCGGTGGAGAGGCGTCCTGCCTTCACTTTAGACAGCAGGGCTGAGCTGAGCACTACTATACCAAAAAACCCGGAAAAGTTGGAAGCTGTAATTTTTCTTTAGGGCTAATTAGCTTCTTTTCTTGTTAGTCACTTATGTCTACAGTTTTCAAAATATAGTTTGAACAGAGAAAAATCTGCATTCCTACTGAGTTAATTCTATAACAGCAAATATACTGTACCTCAGGTACATTTTTCTTAAATTCCCGGCGGAGTTCAATTAAATGTTTATGAGAATGTTCACTCTCCTCCTGCCGTGCAGACAGCTCAGAAGCGACGGAATTAAGCTCCTTCTGGAACAATAAAAAAAAAAAAGAGAGAGAGAAAGATTTTTTCCCCTCCTTTTCTTTTTTAATCATTGTACAAAACAGTATTCCGAACAAGTTTTCTTAACTTACAAAGCTGAGAAAAGACAGAATATTGACTTCTGGCACAAATGAATAATTTACGAAACTGGGGATGCAACCAAAAAAAATCCAGGACAGCTTTTTATTTTTTTTTGCTGGCTGGAAGTCAGGTCAGATCAATAATCTCCCATAAAGTTGGGTGGAGTTGTTTTCTTCATCTCTTCCCCACCCCCTGCCCCACCTCTTAAATTTCCAAAGGAGTGATGGCATAAGCTTGTCAGTAACTGTAGAAAACATCTCCAAACCGTGTCAAAATAGTAAAGTGTGGCATATTGTATGGGCATATTATAGTGTAAGAAAGTGCTGTCGACAGCTTTCATATATCAGAGGTGGGAACTGTTCCAACTATGACTTACTTACACTTAAAGGTTCATAAATACGCCTTTTAAGATATAGATGGCTTTTTAATTTCAGTAGATTTTGGAAAAATGAAGGTGCCAATAAGAAGCAAGCTGACCTTTTGTGTATCCTGCAGTAAATCATTTAAGGTTCACTTCAAGTATAAGAAATATTTCACTGAAGACTCTTGGATTCAGAAGAAATGGATTAGAAGGTGCCTTGCCTGCTTATGTGCAATGAAGGTGTCAGACCAGGTTTTCATAGGACATACCATTGAAGGGAAAAAAGAGTAAGGGATTTGGAAGCAGGGGAGGATGCTCCTGCTCACACACGTCACAGACAATATTTGCTGGTCGTACATGTATATTTGATCACCCCTCTTGTAGCTTTCTTCACTTTAATGGTGGTAGTTTCACAAGGGGAGTACAATTCACCATGAGTTGTCATGGATTTCATTTGCATAATTCAAGAAATGCTATGTTTATGTGGTCTGCTGCCTTCTTGCACCATCCCGAGATGGGCTTTTTTTCTGGACCATAACTCGAGGAGCATTTCTGTATTTATCACTCGATTATATCTGCAGCAATCAAGCCCTATAATTTCCTAAATCCGGTGATGCAATAAATTTCTGCAATCAGATTTATTAAAAACACACACGCAGATGCGAGAGTGTATTTCTAGGGTGAACTCTTTAATCTAACATATGTATAATGAGGCCCAGCACCGTGCTGAAAGACCCCATTTGTCATTGCTAATACGCATTCATCTTGCACACACAATGAAACACTTTTACCATTAGATAATGAAATAAAAGTACTATTAACCCACTGCAAATCCTTTTCCCTCTAAGAGACGAAATGCATGGTAATTGTCTTATATCATGTCTGAGAGTCGGTAAGTCTGCTCAATAGCAGTTCACCACAGCACCATAAACCTCATACCCATCAGAGGCTGGAAAGCCTACCCCAAACTGGGGATATGTTTCCCTGCCTATGGAGTGTTTGGGAGAATTGGGTAGGAAATTTCTGTTTCTGGAGAAATGTCTAACCTCTTTGCAGAATCATCAGACTAGAAGGGATAAGGTCGAGGCACAAAGGTAGTGATTAAAACAGGACGGAAAGAGACAAGAACTGTGGTGCTCTCCAAGGTGCTGAAATAATTTCTATGCCACAGCAGGGGGTACACCAACTTCAAGGCTTAGGGGCTTAGGATCCAAATGCCCTGTGGAATTTTGAGGCAGGTGAAAAACAAGGTGTCGTGAGAGAAACATAAACAGTTTCTAACAGCCTGCTAAGATGACAGAAGAAAAAAGGGAGACTTCTGGTTTATCATCATTTAAAAATAATCACAGTTTCCAATAAAATAAACCACAAGCAACCACAACCAAAAAAATCAAGTGACTGGGGAGAGATCTGTATTTGCAGCAACAGGACTAATCGAAGGTAGACAAACACCAACCAGGTGGTACAGCCAAGTGGACAGAACCTCACTTGGCAGGAGAGAAGAAACTGGAGTGTCGTGGTATGAGCTGTGGCAGAGTGCTCACAGTTGTTCTTAGTTTTCTTGTCTATCTTAAAGTCAAAGATGTGATTTTACATTGCTGCAGGACAATCAGAACTGAGACTTGAGCTGACATCATTTGGTTTTGGATTATCATGTACCTGACACTATGTTCTTATCTCTGTTGCACCATAGCAACCGATATACTTGGTGTGAGCTGGCCTCGGACTCCTCATTTAAAACATCCAACCGAGGCTCTGAAAGAAATCTCAGAGCAGGACAAGTCCAACCGCCTGATGTGTGGTACCAGACAATTACACCATGCAGGTACACTGGCTCCCTCTACCCAAACCTCCCAGGCTGCTGGTGGGTGCAAATCTGTCTGCTGTGTCCACACTACAGAGCAGAGGTGAGATCAGGCCAGGGAATGTCAGCAGGGCCCCAGCCTTGGCCTCACGCAAGCCCAGCTCTTGGTATCTTTCCTGTTCAGCCCTAGACGAGCAGACGATATGACTGATCTTCTCAACTTTGCCTAAATATGCTCATCTTTCAACCCTAAATTCTTGCCACATTTCTATGGTAAGCTCACAAACAACAACGACAACAATAATGATCGCAACTACCATTTATTGGGTGATTATATGTACCAGGCACCATGCTAAGCTCCTTGCATACATCATCTCATGTAACAAACAATGTATTTGTTAGGTGATTCAAGCAGGGACTAAGAAATAAATTAGTTAATTCTAATAATTCAGGTGTGGATTATGTCCTTGGTGGATTATAAAAGCAAAATTGTAATGCCCTTCTCTTCATAGGGCTTCTGCTTCATTTCCCCACTAGCTGGGGGGACATTCAAGGAGCTTGTTTTAAATGCTATTAATGTGAAAAGCATCAAGTGCAGTACCAAGTGTTCAATAAATGTTGGCTGATATTAATCTTATATTTAGATAAACAGAACTCAGAAAACACCCCACTAGATCAGTGATTGTAAGAGTTTAGATTTCACAGGTCAGTGAAACTCTCACCAAAAAAGACAAAGAAAAATAAGAGGACCGACAGAGTATTGCCAAGTTTTATTGTATCAAGCAAAAGCATTAAAAAACCACTCTCTCTCTAAAACACAGGATATCTGAACATCAATGAAGGCAAGTGGGCCAATGACAGAATCAACAAGCCTTTAAAAATAAACATATTTAAAATAAAAAAGCTCACGGCACTATATTTATTTCGAAGAAACGGAAAAAACTCTCATCAACATAAACCAAAACTAATCTGCAGTGGAGTTTTAGAAACGAGAGTCTGAACCACCAGGCACAGAACAGCTAGCAGGGCCTCTCCTTTGATGATCAAGCAGAACTTGGGATCCTCTCCCACCCCTGCCCCCAGCCCCCAACCCCCAGCCCTAGGGAGCCATGATTAACAGAGCCCCAGACTTTGGGCCAGGCCCAGTCGGGGTGGAGACTCATCTGATTAACAGGCCATCAGCAGCAGACAGACAGCCCGGAGCCCAGCGAAGACCATTCAAATAATGATCATCATAAACAGCCCATTTGCAACTAAAAAGAAATAATTTTAATGAGCTTGAAGCAGATGATAGATGCAGCTGAGGCTCGGGCCAAAGCACAGAGAGAAAGGAAGCTGGGATTGAGCTGCACCCAGGACCAAGAGGAGCGGGAAGAAGCTGTGTGCTGCTCATCCACCATAAGTGCCCACTGCCCGGAGAATGCCCCTCACTCTCTAGGGTCTGCCATCATCAGCGTGCTGGGCAACCTTGGAACTTAGACCTCCAAGACACTCAGAGTCACAGAATGTATGAGCCAGAAGGAACCTTTGAGTTGTCCAGTCTATCACTGACCAAATTTCAACTACACATACCCCTCTGCATGTGTTTTGCCATATTACTATTTAGATAAATTTTTATTTAATATTTAACTTCAAATTGACTTCTATTTCTTTCTTTCTGATTGAGACATGCATAGCTTTAAGTTCAAAATTCTATTTTTAGATAGAATTTTTATACTGCTCAGATTGAGGTATAAAGTGTTCACATTCCTAGCACCTCAGAAGTCTCCGTTGTTTCCCCCACTATTCTGACCCTAGCATAGAAGATAAATTTTGCTTGTTCTTGATCTTTACATAACAAACTCCTCTTCTTTAAACCTAAATAAGTGCATTTGAAAAGGAAACTTTTTTTATGACTAGAGAATCCTGTGCCATAAACAGATAGTAGCTGTTAAAATAAAAGTATAATGAAAACGAAGCACTGATGTCTGTCTTTGTTATAAAAGGAGGTTGGTAAGCAACTGCTGGAGAGCAGTTAAGGTGCTGTAGTACCAAACAGAGACTTTCCTCCTGTTGGAATACGGAGGAACAGAAGAGCACTGAGAAGGTATAACTGCTCCTCCTAACATGAGTCAATCCTTTCTAAAGTCAGGTCTAGTTACTGCTAATCATCATCTCACGTCCCTTCAGTGGGTGTATGCCCCACACTTTAGCAAACACTAACTGAATCAGATTCTCCCATTTTAAAGATAAGGAAAAAGGCATAGACAAGTTAGGCTACCTGCCCAAGCCACACAGCTGGTTAAGGGGTTGGATTTCCTCAGAGGGGAGGGTGGGCCTTGGGTGGGGAAGGAAAACTGTTGGTTATCTATGGGGAGGCAAGTTAAATGTTCTTAGTTCAACTGTGTATCCCCAATCAGAAGGGACTGGGAATCTTACAAGAATACTTAGTTTTGCAAGAAATTTAATACCTGATCCCAAAGTGTCAACTATGTACAAAGCTTCGAGCCGGACGCTGTGTTTTTATAGGGGAGACACACATAAGATACAGTATGAGCTGTGCATATGAATGTCAGTTCCCTCAACATATGCCCACGCTCTTCTCAGCTCTGAAGACACCCCACACGCAGACATGTCTCCCTAATACCAACTCTCAGAAGAGACCTTCTAAAAAGTATGCAGTGATTGCTGGGGATTGGGGTTGTGGAAGCGAGGAATTCAGGTGTTTTCATGCTTTGAAGGGATTTCATGAAGGGAAACAAAATCTTTCTCCATGTCCTGCCTGGGCTCAAAACCCTCATATGGCTCTCCACTGCCCTAGGAACACCTCCA